CGCATCACCCACCTGCCTGCGCCGCCACCACCTACAGCGTCAGCGACCCCCGGAGGTTTCACTGCCTCGGCATGGGTAGGAGACCTGCGGCCGCCGGGGAGGGGAGGGCGGCGGGAGAAGGGGTCCCCCCCGTTCCTCCCCCCCCGAGGGAGAGCGGCTGCCCCCGGGCGGAAAGCTGCGGCAGAATGTCTTTTCTCTCTCTCTCGCCCCCCCCCCTTCCCCCGTCCCGCTGAAGTTCGTGCTTCTCTCCCGTCCAGGAGGCTCCGATTCCAGCCAAATTCAAAACGGGAAAAGGATGAGGACAGCTTTCACCAGCACCCAGCTCTTGGAGCTGGAGAGGGAATTCTCCTCCAACATGTACCTGTCCCGGCTGCGGAGGATCGAGATAGCCACCTACCTGAACCTGTCCGAGAAGCAAGTGAAAATCTGGTTCCAAAACAGGAGGGTGAAGCACAAGAAAGAAGGCAAGGGCACCCAGCGAAACTCGCACGGCGGCTGCAAGTGCAGCACCAGCCAGGGGCATTATCCCCGGTCGGAGGACGAAGAGTCTCTATCCCCCTCATCGGCTACCGAGGATAAAGAAATCTCCCCGTTATGAGCCCGGCCCGGAGCTCCGCTCCCGCCGCCGGGTCCCAGCCCGGAGCGGGCGGCGGCGCGGCGGCTCACCTGGCACCGCTGCCCCGGGGACAGCAGCCCGCCGACCTGGAGCGGGCTGGCTCTCGCCGGCTGGCAGGTTCATTTCCATCCCTTGGCAGTCAGAGAGAGAGAGAGAGAAGTATATTTTTGGAACGTAAATGGTTTAGTCGTGAGAGTTAAGCTAAAACGTTATTTATGTAACCCCAGGAGCGGGCACCTGCTCTTCCTAACGTGTGACACCGGACTGGACTCGCACGGCCCAGGGTGCCTTCCTCCCAGGCAATTTAAAGGAGAAAAACCCCAAACTTATCTGGAACCGAAAGGCGAGACAGTTAAAAAACTGAAAAGCAAACAAAAACCTGTAGGGCTGAGAACCTCCTAGACGGACTTCTTAACAAAAATAAGAAAAGAAATAAAGATCGGTCGTTTGCGTTCGGGACGGCGGTGTGTCTGTGAATAGTTTTATATAAAATTTATATTTATATTTATTTAAATAAATGGGATCAGACGAGAATTTAATTTTTCTTTTCTTCTCCTCCCCGCCCCCCCAGGTGCCAGCCTAGTCCGAGGAGCGAAGGTGGGCTGGCTGGGGCAGGGTGCGTTTCTTCGCAGTGCTTTGTACGGTGAAAGCATTGGTGTATATGTGTCAGACCTCCGTAAAGACTAGAAATAAATGCCATCGGCTACTAACCCGAATACGTTTTCTGTTCCCCCGTGACTCGGGCCGGGTGGGGGGGGGGGGCGGAGGAAGGTGGGGGGACCCCGCTCCGGCCGAGCGGAATGCAAATGAATGCCGCTTTTCTGAGCCGAGCAGCTTTGTGTTCCTTTCCAGCCGGAGCCAGCGCACGCCCTCCCCGCGGCTGACAGCTTTCTCCCGTCTGCTCGCCCGGCGGCACCGCACCGGGGACA